ATGAATGATTATGTTTTTTCGAAGTGCCTAACTGACATCGTTGTTAATTAGAATTTAATAGATTTTATATAAAATATACATATTTTTAATAGCTGATTTTTGCGAAGTTATATATGAAGTTTTAATTTCTCCAGGTTAGTATCCGGTAAAATGGTGATTGACAAAGTGGTAAATTTAAATTGTTGGAAAAGCGATCCCTTTTTTAACATCTTAAAAATTCTGATGGTCCGGTAAACAACCATGTTTACAATCTAAAAATTCCTGTAAGCACTGAATGACTAAAAATAATGGCTCAATGTTACTCTGACAAGTACTAGAAATATGTGAGTAAAAAAAAAGATGAGTTTTAACTGGGACCACTTATAGATTAATATCATCTTGAACAAAATGTTTTTTTTTTTATTAAAGAAATCATTTTTATATTTTATTTTTAAATAATAATTATCAAGCATAATATTAACCTAATGATGTTTATATCTCTTTATCTGCATGTGCTTGTATTTAATATCTGAACCTTGAATGTGAGATGATTTCTAAAAATACTAGATTTAAGAATCATGTGTACATTCCAGATTATAAAAGTTAATTCCTCTATATTTCTATACCCGCTATAACATTTCAGAGACTAGACGGCTTTAGCTAGGAAAATTTCAACCCCAAGAATTTTTAAACAGTGCATGTTTAAAAATTCTTGGGGTACCTAAATAAAATAATTTTTGAATCCTACACAATTTTCTAAGGCAATAATGTTAATACTTACTACCTCAAAAGTGAATTCTCTATAAATTTGACTTCTTTCAATTCCGCCATTTGCTGCTGCACTACACCATTTCTAGATGTATTTCAGAAAGTGTCGATTATATTTCAGAAAATATCAGTTTAATTTCAACTTGGTAAAGTTAATTTAGAGAGCATTATTTGTATTCGAGATTAGTAGGTTTTATTTCAAAAACAGTTACTCACAGTAAAAAATATGGTTTTCTATTTAAAGTAACAAAGTTCGTCTTAAATTTGGGTATAACCAGAAGTGTGACAAATGTACAATTTTTTTTTAAGGGATTATATCCAAAAACCAAAGAACTTAATTTTTACAACTCGCAGCAATCTCTGTTGGCCATGGAATTGAAAAGAGAAACTTTGTATCTTGTATATGATGGGTGTTGTTTTTTTTATACAGGGTGTCTCATAATTAGCTGCCAACCCTGAACAGGCCGATTCTATGATCAAAACTAAGTAAAAAAGTTCATATGAACATGGGTCCTGAAATGCTTCCTAAGGGCACAGGGACCCATTGAAGAGGGAGGAATGGAAATAATTTTTTTGCAATATCTCTCAATCGCGTTGTGATAAATGAATGAAATTTGGTATACACAGCTAAATTTTGATGAG